TACACATTAGAAAACTACAACATTACATTACTTTTCAACATAATCACCATTCAGATTGAGGCACTTTTCATAATGTCTTACAAGATTTGAAATTCCTTAGTAGTAGTCACTTGGCACCAATTCTGGGCTATGGGGGGGGGCGATGAGCAAAAATATCCCAACGGAACTGCTTCAAAAGTTTTTGGGTGTGTCTAACAGTGTGCGGGTGAGCATTAGCGTGAACACCATACCAGAAGTGGTGCCATAGAAAATCCCACCAAATGTGAAGATGCCAAAGGAGTACTGCTAGTGAAGTTCATGGAGCGTGGTTCGACCATCAATTCAGAAGTCTACTGTGAAACGTTATGAAAACTCAGATGAGCCATCCATAACAAGCGTTGGGGCATGCTGACTTCCGGTATGGTGTTGGTTCACACTGCTAGACACACCCAAGAACTTTTGAAGCAGTTCCATTGGGTTGTTTTTAATCACCACCCCATAACCCAGATTTGGCCTTGAGCGACTACTAATAAGTAATTTCAAACCTTGTAAGATGTTATGACAAGTGCCTCAGTTTGAATGGCGATTATGTCAAAAAGTAATGTAATGTTGTAGTTTTCTAATGTGCATAATAAAAGTTCTGTATCTGTCATTGATAACCAAGTGGAGGTTTATTTCCAAATCGCCCTCATATCATGGCAGATTATGTAAAATCAGGCATTTCTTCAGGTCTCCCAATAACAATAAAGTAAAAAATAAAACATTAATGACATTCTAATACACCATTTTGGCTTCACGAATTTGCGTGTCATCCTTGTGCAGGGGCCATGCTAATCTTCTCTGTATCGTTCCAATTTTAGTATATGTGCTGCTGAAGCGAGCACTAATACACCATTTTCTACATTTTATCAGCTCCAAAGAATAGGAATTATACCAACAGTCCATTGGACAAACTGAAATTAGCTGATTGCAATATATCCATTCATTGTTTGTCAACTCATTTTCAGTACATTCCTGCTCTCTAGTAATTTTTAAAACCTTAAAGTATTTTTAATCTTAAGTATTTAAAGCAACTCATTCAATGAATATAAACATTTAGATATCATGGATTTATGCTGCAAACCTGATATTATGTTGTGAAAACTGTAATTCAAAACATTTTCTGCCTCACTTCAAGTCATCATGAAGCAGAGATGGAGGGCATCTCATAATAGCATGCTGAAAATGACATTATCATTCATCCCAGGATATTGATAGTGTGCCAGGGAACATTCTGTATGTCTGGGCCCCCACAACACCCAATACTGGTACTAATAGTTTCTTCTCCTAATTGTGTATTCTGTTTTGTTTTCTCTCTTCCCAAACGTGCCAGTACTTCTCCCATATTATTTGTTTGTTTGTTTGTTTGAATTTATTGGTCACCTAACTCTAGTAGACTGATATGGACTTTTATGGAATCTTCTGAAATCAAACATGTCTGCAGGATGAATAACAAAATCACTTAAGAATATGAAGGATTTACTGTATTTAATTGTAAGATTTGTATGGCCACCCATCTAAAAACAACAACAATAAAATCTCAAATAATAAACACCATAAAACATAATAAACAACATAACATCATAAAACCAATACAAAACCTGAGACATCAGTCACTCCTTGGAATGCCCCACAACCAATTCCAGATATCCTCACTCTATCCCAGTACTTTGGTTAAAAGCCAGATCTTGATAGCCTTGTGAAAGGCTGAAAGGGTGGGGGTCTGTTGAATCATTGAGTAGAAGAAGGTTCATAAGGTTGGGGAAGTCATGGAAAAGAAACTGTTCAGGGGTCCCACTAGATTGCAAGACTTCGGGAAAGGGGCCTGAAATGTGCTACCCTGTACGATCTGCTAGGATGGGTAGATACTCTCAGAGAGAGCCAGTCCCATAAGTATTTATGTAGTTTATTTCATATCTAACCATCTGTCCACAGAAAGATTCCCAGTGACTTTGCCAAAATATTTTAGGGCAACTTTTATAGTTGTGTATTGGATTTGGACCTCAAAGTTCTGTCCTCTTTTAAATTATGTTCTGTAACCATAAATCTATTTACAAGCCACTGATGACAAAAGAATGTTTGGAAACTCCTTGTTCAGTGTTAATTAGTTGAAGATGCCACATTTGGCATCTTCATGGTAATTAAAGTTGTACATTACAACTTTTCAAATTCAGTATTTCCCAGATCAGCTCTGAATATCTCAAAGCATGAGGACTATCACAATATACCTGGACCTAATTTGTTTACCCAGAAGCCTCTTGTTCATGACATCACATTATAATTACTATGAATTCCTTTCCATTCTTTGAGATAAAGTTGAGTGTTATAGGTATAGAAAAAGGAGCATAGAAACAGTTGGTTCCTCTCGCACCCTTTTTTTTAAAAAAATCCCTCATTCTATCCTCCCCGGTGGGAAAAATGGTGTTGAAGACTATCTGTCCACTGTTTTTCACTCCAATCTATTGTATAGAAGTAAAGAGAGAGAGAAATACAACCTGTACCATCATGACTGAAATATGATTGTCTGAATGTAATTTCCAGCCTCCAACAAGTGGCATTTCAGCAAAATTCCACCCTGTTCAAAATGAGGCATAAGCACCTCAGTTCAAAAATCAGTGGCTGGATCGATGGCCTAGCCCTCAGTAAGAAGGCAGCGGAGGTGTCAGCTCAAGTGATACAGAAAGAGAGACAGAAACTTCTGGAAAAATCCTAAACGGACTCCTCTTATTTTCCCAAGAGAGATATCAGCAATTATATTAAACATTCAAATTCAATTGAGCATTAATAAATCGTAGCAACAAAGGTGATGGATCAGGCAAGGTTGAGGGGAGGAACCGGAAACAAGTGGAGATTTCTCTCTATAGTGTGGATGGGATCTCCATATACATTGCAATATTAATCTGCCTAAAACTACAGCTGGAGTCAACATTACATTCTTTGTCACAGCCCTGAAAAGGTAACATCAGAATTAAGTTAGCAATATGGAAGATGCCAGCTCAGACAGCAACAAATGCATGCACAGTGGAAGTGTGTGTTTGTGTATGTGTGCACATGCATGCAATTTATTACTTTTTTAAACCACAATGACCTTTCTTTTACTATAGTATTAATTTTCAGGAGGCCAGCCTCTGTCTTTGCTTTGCTCTCTGTTTTGACAAGACAGTTCAAACAGCATAAAGAGTGATGGACCCCATACACAAATAATCATGACTTGTTATAAATTCCATAGTAAGACAATAAGATCATTAGGCCAACTCAAAAATTGATAAAATATTAAGCATGTTTTTCAGTTTTCCAGGGCATTTCATCATCAAGAAAACAAAAAGCAAAAAAAGGGAGGGGGGAACAAGTGACTGATGTTCAAAATTACATTTATCCACTGCCTCAAGATAAAAAAGAGTGTTGTGCTGCAGATATTTGTGTTAAGTTCTAACAAGTGCTCTGGATCTTCGAATGGATACCTAGGATGTATGGGTTAAAAACAGCTCTCTTCATCATTACACAAAATGTACAGGGAATAAGAAAAGTAAGGGAAAATGCAAAAGAAAACAATAAAAGCTATATCCCACTTTCTGGCATTTTATTACTTCCTCAGACCATCTTTACAACAAGGATTCATACAAACGTTACCATTTCCATGGCTGAATCAATGGTGTCCAATGAAATCAGAGGTACCAGAGATATTCCATAGTATTATTGAGGTGGGAACAAATGGCATGTAGGGCCATCTGTTGGATTTTTGTATGGCACTGTATGTAGCATAGCTCTTATTGGACATACAGTGCATTTCAACAAAGCTATTCCTGCTGTAATCTTCTGGCTTGCTTTCTGACTATGAGAGTAGAAAAAAGTTGCTCGTAAACACCCAGTCCTATTCCTGGATATGAAATTACAATTTTTTAGCATTTCCAGAAACTGAAAATTATCTCATAGGTCTGATTGATGCAAAATTGATTTGTCTGATCAAAAAACCACGACATTTTCATTTTGTATTGGTTTAGGAATACAGACAGAAAAGTAGCTGCACAGTTTCTCACGTTCAAAGGCTTTGCAGAAGTCATAAATGCATATCCATCCCAAGAGAGCCGACCATTATATCATACCTTTATTTTGATTCTATAACACCAGTTTCTTTTATTTACACTGAGTGAATGGGGGGGAGCAGAGATAGGGAAGGCCTGCACTGCCAAGAAACTATTTCAATTTCTATTCTTTCTATTTCAATTTGTCATATTATCTCTGATCTCCACTGCCTTAGCTATCCATTTCTTTTGGGGAACTGTAAATATCAGATGATGCTGGAGTCTCATGATATCATGATATGTTCCTGTGAGGTTCTTCATCTCCTTTGGCAATTCTAGCTGCCTAATTCCATAGGGAGTGCCTCATTTTATAGGACCTTAAGGTCCTGCCAATCCAGGAGGACAAAAAGGGAACCCACTCACCTAACCTGTGTTGTTCCCTTTTTGCCTCTCATTGTCAGCTATCATGTAGCTTCAACTTCCATTCATCTCTATGACATTTCCCAAGATCCTCCGTCCTTGAAGTGTACGTTTCCATACACAGTGGAGTTTATCTGCATAGCAAAGTTCTTAGCTTTGCAGGATTTTCCTTCTCTGCCAGATCCATCCCTTCGTGGCTTTCTCCTCCTTTCCTTTCTCAACCATTCTCCTTTTAACAGTTCCCTCTTCCCAATTCTTATTCATTTCTAATTCACTCCAATAACGTTTGTCATTTCGATCATAAGCTTGACAAGCAAAGCATGATGTGTCCCAGCCCCTTTTTCACCCAAAAAGGGAACTAAAAACAATTTTTTTCTCTCACCATAATGTCTATTATCAAGGTTTTGAATACCAAAGAAATAAAGTTACATTCTCTCCCCCCTCAGTACTTTTCCAACCCATCTCAAAAGCTGTCTCTGGTATTAGAAAAACAATTTACATTTTATAAATACTTATAGCTTCATAACAAACTCCACTTACCTTTGAGGAATCACATTTATCCTTGGTTCAGTAAGTCAATTTCTGGAAGAAATTTAGTTGTTCTTGCTATGCCATTCATCCTTTCCCTCCTCCTTCAGGCAAAGATATAAAAATAATCTTTTAAAAATCCTTAGTCAGTCTAGTGATGCAAAAATGAAGAAACCTCGGCAGATGGGATTTGATTCAGTGTAGTCCAAACAACAGAATCCTTGAGACTCCTTACTCAAAAATATCCACAGCACAGAAAAAGGAGGATAAAAAAAGGGAGAATAGAGGACCAGTGTCTGTGTGTGAGCGTGTAAAAAAGAAAGTGAATAAACTTGTTTTCTGTTGTTTCCAAAACACTTATTTTGAATGACTGACCGCAGCAGCCTGAAGGCTTTTCAAGCAGATGGATCCCATGACATCCCGGGGTATCACAAGCGTGCGGGTAGAGCAAGTCTTCAAGTTCATGTTAGCAGGAATCTTGCTTTGGTGTAGATGTACGTATGTATGTAAGAAGAAAAGGGGGAAGGATTACTCACCCACACATGCACACATGCACACATACACGCATGCACAAAGAGAAGTATGGGGGAGAAAAAGCAGAAGGCGGGGAGGGAAAAAACGCGGCAGATTGGAATGATCTCATAAAGTGCTCTAGATGGCAGAGCCTACCCGGCTTGTAAAACAAGCTATGTGGAAGTGGGAGGGGGAACGGAGAGAGCGATGGGGTGGGAGGAGAATCCACCCTCGCAGGCAGCTCGAGCTGTTCTGCTCTCACTTCTCCTGATGCTGTGGCACAGAAAGAGATTTGTGCAGCAAAAACACATCCATGTAGAGAAGGAAGGAAGGAAGGAAGGGAGGGAGGGAGCAAGGGAGGGAGGGAGGGAGGGAGGGAGGAAGGAAGGAAGGAAGGAAGGAAGGAAGGAAGGAGGGAAGGGAGGAGGGAAGGGAGGAGGGAAGGGAGGAAGGAAGGAAGGAAGGAAGGAAGGAAGGAAGGAAGGAAGGAAGGAAGGAAGGGAGGGAGGAGGGAGGAAAAGACAGAGAGGGGAGGGAGAGAGAGGAGGGAGGGAGGGAGGGAAAGAAAGAAAGAAAAAGAAAGAAAGAAAGAAAGAGAAAGAAAGAAAGAAAGAAAGAAAGAAAGAAAGAAAGAAAGAAAGAAAGAAAGAAAGAAAGAAAGAAAGAAAGAAAGAAAGAAAGAAAGAAAGAAATGCCAAGGGAGGGAGTGGAGAAGTCAGGGGACAAGGGAAGGGAATGGTACAGCTGATCCACATCTCCCAAACTCTGTGACTCCAAAGGCAGCAGCCTGCCAGCTTTCTCTCAGCCTCAGTGTTCAGAAGAAGAGAAGACTCTCTGCTGTAAAGAGAGGCTGCCAGGCAGACTAGCAGACTCCAGATGGAGTAGGGAGAAGCATCAGCAGGAAGCTTGTCTCTTTTTTGTAGGGGGAAAAGAGGAAGAGAGAGAGGGAGAAAGGGAGAAGCCTATGTAGACACTAAAGAGCAGCATTCTTTTCATGCACATTTTTAATATTTAAAATTATTGTTATTATTATTATCATCATCATCATCATCATCAATGAATGTTTTTTCAAGAAAAATAAAGAAGAGCTCTTGGATTATTTTAATAACTTCACTGGATATTTTAATAACTTCACTAGGAGCAGTCAGAGGAGATCTTAGATTCTTTTGATAATGAAGGGCTTAGGGAAGGTTGATATTAAAGGAATTAAAGGAATAAAGGACATTAAAGGAATAAAAATCAGGACTATTCTGTGGCGGGGATGGGAACTAATGATGACTGCAAAGTGCTCGATATGGGACTGCCCTTGAAAAACATCTGGAAGTTGCAGCTGGCCCAGAGGCATGGACAGAAATGGACGTACCTTGGTTCAACCTTGTACACCTCTGCTCCATGAGCTGCACTGTATCTCAGTAGGCTACTAAGTGAAGTTCAAGGTGCTGATATTCACCTATATAGCCTTTCATGGGATGAGGTTGTGTTATTTGTGGGACCACCTTTCTGCAAATGTTTTTACCCATATTTTCAGATCTGTCAGGAAAAGCATGCTGGGGTTCAGTAAAGAGTACCATTTTGCGAGTCCCAGAAAGGGAATCTTTTTTTTTTATCATAGCAACTGCCCTTTGGAACATTATAACCTCTGAAGTTATATTCTGACTGACCCTATCAGCCTTTCAAAAAGTCTTAAAAGATCTGGATGTGTTCCCAGGCATAAGTGCCAGGAGATTATCTGTGAGGCATTCTGAGTTTATTAGATTTGTTTTTACCTCAGTGGTTATTATAGATGTTAATGTTTTGGTTGTTTTCTGTTCTTATTTGTATGATATTTTTTATCTATTGTTAGCTGTGGCAAGACAGGCATCTATATAAAATAAATTAAATAAATAAATATAGACAAAAACCAGGATTTATGTGATGAAGACAGAATCCTGGCAACTCATAGGTGTTTGTGCAATGGACCTATTTAAAAAATAGTCAAAACATTCATGAGCCCATGAGGTACAGCCATCATAATGTTAGATTTCCTAAAGCCTGAATATCAGAGATGGAAACATTAATGTTTCTGAGCTACAATTCCTAGAAGAACTATGCAGCATGGCCAGGAATGAGTGGTGCTACTAACCATTCAGCAAATAGAATTAGCCTTTTTTTATGAAAGTACAATATAGTAGGACATCATAGTGCAAATATTTTCTCCCCTCTTGCTGGATTTGGAAAGTGAAAAGAACCAGCTTTGGGGAGAGAATCAGCAGTCTGTAAAAATAGGTCCTTGATAGGAAGGACAATGTGAATGGCTTCAGAAAAGCATTTTATTGATTAAAAGAAACATTTACTTTTTTAAAATATTTGATCCTGCCTGTCAATATAAATTCTTCAAGCATAATTTATGGATCTTAAAACAAAGTAACATTTCATAGGGCAGATAGACATTGAGGTTGCAATTCTGCATTTACATGGCCTGGAAGAAATCTTATTCAGAATAGAACATAGAATAATAGAATTGGAAGGGACTTTGGAGGTCTTTTAGTTCAACTCCCTGTTCAAGAAGAAGACCCTCTACCATTTCAGAAAATAGTTGTCTGGTCTCTTTTTGAAAGCCCCCAATGATGGAGCACCCACAATTTCTGAAGGCAAGCTATATTAGAAATTATTAGAAATTTTCTCCCTAGTTCCAGGTTGCTTCTCTCCTTAGTTAGCTTCCATCCATTGTTCCCTTTCTTGCCTTTTGGTGCTTTGGAAAATAGTTTGATCACCTCATCTTTGCAAGAGCCCCTCAAATATTGGAACACTGTTATTATGTCTCCCCTAGTCCTTCTTTTCATTAGACTAGACATACCGAATTCCTATAACCATTCTGCATATGTTTTAGCCTCCAACCTCCTAATCATTCTTATTGCTCTTCTCTGCACTCTTTCCAGAGTCTCAACATATATTTTATATTTTGGTGACCAGAACTGGATGCAGTGTTCCAAGTGTGATCTTATTGAGGCTTGTTAAACTAGAACTTCATGTGATCTTGATTCTACCCCTCTATTAATGCAGCCTAGGACTGCATTCATTTTTGTGGCTGTTGACACACACTTTTGGCTCATATTTAAGTGATTGTCATTTTAAGCAGGCATATATAGAGTTGCATGGTAAAACGGAAGAACAATTTAAAAATATTTTTAAAGTTAGCTAAATATTTCAAAAAGCAATGAAATCAGAAGCTAGTTTGATGAAATGTAAAAGTCAACATTAGCAAGTAATCTGTGGAGAAACAGAATCTGCTTTCTAGCAGCTGTCCCCCTCAATTCAAAGATGGAAGTGTCCTTAGCCAGTTATTCTCCATAAGAGTCATTTAAACTCCCTGCTTTAATTCAAGTTATAATTCACTGCCCTTATCAGTTTTAACTGATAATCTCTACCTTATAAGAGAACATCCCATGCAGAAGCCTAAACCCTTCAGAATAGAATATATATTACTATCAACACCCAAAATCAGATTGAACAAGGACCTTCAGGACAAGTGAAGAAACTGAGATGCCTCAAGAGCAAATTGGACAAGAGCATGTGCAGAAGGGTTAGCCATTGCATTGTATGTTGACAGAGCAATTTGCCATTGATATCTGGAGATGCAACAATTTACCTCTTCAGTTCTGCTTTTCTAACATGTTCAAAATATAGGGCCAAGTTAATCTGTATGCACTTGAAGTTGCTCAGTCGATGGCTGGCAATCAATTTCATTTATTGAAAAACTGCTCAAAACAACTGATCAGTGATAGTGTTATGAAAAGAACAATTGGGACTGCAGTAAAATGACCTAGAATGCATTTTCTTGGCATGCATATTATAGTCAATTAAACATTGTTTCAACCTTTTATGGAATATTGTCTGTGTACATAAATTTTTATATGTTTGTCTCTCCATAGCACTCATGATCAGATACTGGTAATAACATACACTATGTTCTTTCTGAACTACCTGAAAAAGCAAGGATAAGGCCGATCCTGGGAGAGTTATAGAGAAAGCACCTGAAGGAATGTTTGGGAACAAAAATACTGCACCACAAATATTTGATCACTTAACTGATTAAAGAAGAAAGAAACAAGGGTTCTCAACCTTGGCAACTTTAAGACTTGTGCACTTTAAGCTTTGCTGGCTGAGGAATTCTGGGAGTTGAAGTCCACAAGTCTTAAATTGCCAAGGTTGAGAACCCTTGTAAGGTGTTCAGTTCTAAACTCTTGGAGCCATCTGAATAAAAAATGAGGTAAATTACACGTATCCCAACTATCATCCATATCCTTGTCTCACATTCTACTTTGTATCCAGATCTGGATTTCCATGAATACATCAAGCGTAGTAAGATAAAATGCTGTATAATGTTGCAGAAGTCTGGAAGATTATTGTTAGGATGCAATGCTGTATTACACTTACTGTAGGTAATTACCAGTCTGCACAATTTGATGAAATAACAATTTGATTTTCTTAGGGCAGAACAACAAAATGAAGAGACAACTCACAATGCATGGACAATAAACTGCACTTATAGGACAAGTGAAGTATGTTCAGGGGTTGCTGGTAGTGAAGTTCTAGAGTTGAAGTCCAGAAATCTGAATGGCATTCAAGATGGTAAGGTTGCTGTAAAATTTTACTTTCATGTTAAAATTAAGATCTCTACTCAGAATTGACCAGATTAAATGTTTTGCAAAACTAGCAGACTCATAAAAACATCCAATTAATGGGAAAAAAATAAGATATGGAGAATCTGTGTTCCTCAGCATTAGGTATGTTGGATGGGCTGATAGAGGCATCTGGAGATGCATGTTTGATCATAACTATACTAAGTGTACACATTATCATTTATACTCTTTTGGTACAATAGTATACTGTACTTGTTGGACACAAAACACATTGTGAACTTGTTTGGACTTTTTCAAATGGAAATAGTTCTGTTGAAATTACAACTCTTAATTCACACAGACACATTGTTGTGGAAATATTTGTGAGTAACAGTGTTCTCATGAAATAGGAAAAAATATCTGTTCATGAGTTCTCTAGTGTGGCATTGTCTTTCTGATGTGATTTTTACAAATTATTATTATTATTTTGAGTGTGTGCCTCCAAATCAATGTTGGCTCCTGGTAACTGCCTTAGCAAGTCC